TCTTAGCCTTTTAAAATTGAGGCCGAAACTTGGCTAGGCTGCTGTACCCCCCCACGTATCTCCCATACTGGATTCTATTTTATTGCTTCGAGGATTCTCCGACCCCACTCCTCAAGACTCCTCCAAAAAGTCCAAAATCCAAATCCATTTCCCCGCGTTTCTACTTTCTTTCCCCAGTGTCGCCACCCTCCAATTTCCCTTGAAACCCCCATCCCCCTGCCTATAAATGCCGCCCAGCCCGCCCCCTTCTCCCATTCCACTTGCACCTCCTTTCTTCCTTCTCCTCGTCCTCTCCTGTCCACATTCTCCCCCTTTTCCCACACAAAATCTCTCCATAGAGGATAGGTAGATTTCTATTTGACCCTTTTGTCATTTATTCACGATACGCAAAATCCCATCTTTCATTTTTCCCCAACCAAAAATCATACTTAGATAATTGAAAAGAATGAATACCTGATTTTTTTCCCCAACCAAAAAATCCCATCTTTATATATACCCCACATGATTTCCCCCTTTCTTCTTCACATCAAACCCTAACAAGTACTAGCCTTAGCCCCTTATTTCTCTCTATCCCTTTAACATGTTATAGCCACCCATTCATTATCCCACGCCCTATAAACCACCAAAGGGGGAAAAATCCAATCTTTTTTTTCCCAGGTTTTAGACCTAACCCATATCATGGCAATTGCCTATCCACATTATTTGAGTTCCAAGAGCGCACGAAAATCCGTTGAGCCACCGTTGGTGGTGTCAACCCAATCATCGTCCTCGGCTCGGTCTCCGGTTAATAATTTGACCCAAGATGAGCTCAAGAAGATTGCAGCCTATAAGGCTGTTGAGTTTGTCCAATCAGGCATGGTTTTAGGCCTTGGGACAGGCTCTACCGCCAAACATGCGGTGGATCGAATTGCAGAGCTGATGAAATTGGGGAAATTGAAGAACATTGTTGGGATTCCCACCTCGAATATGACGAGGGACCAGGCTGTTTCCTTAGGTATTCCTTTATCTGATCTTGATACTCATCCTATCATTGATATGGCCATTGATGGTGCAGATGAAGTTGACCCGGATATGAATTTGGTTAAGGGAAGGGGAGGTTCATTGCTGAGGGAAAAAATGGTGGAAACTGCGAGTAAGAAGTTTATTGTTATTGTTGATGAATCCAAGCTTGTGAACCACATTGGTGGGAGTGGATTAGCTATGCCTGTTGAGATTGTCCCTTTTTGTTGGAAATTTACTCTTAAAAGGCTTGAAATGTTGTTCATGGAAGCTGGTTGCATTGGAAAGCTGAGGATGTTTCCGGGAACTGAGAACCCTTTTGTAACTGATAACGGCAATTATATTATTGATTTGTATTTCAAGAAGGATATTGGTGATTTGAAGGCTGCCAGTGATGCAATTTTGAGGCTTGCAGGTGTTGTTGAGCATGGGATGTTTCTTGATATGGCTACTACTCTGATTGTTGCTGGTGAGCTTGGGGTAACTGTGAGGAATAAATTAACTTGAAGTCAAAGCTGGAGGTAGTTTTCCAGATTTTAGCTTTTAGCTGACACATTAGGATATGTAGGGCTGTCGGGATATTACGTCTTGATTGAATTGGGGGAACTTTTGATGGTTAAATTTATTAATGTAGAAGTGGGAGTTTTATCACTGCTCCTGTATCAATTCTTAAGACATTAAAGTTGATGAATCCACATTTTTCTGATTGAGAAATGTCATTGTTTTCAGTTGATCTTTGTTGCTTGATTCTTTTATGTTTTTGGCTTTGGTTGTAGAAGTAGAATTCAGGTGCCTGAACTATTCAATTGTTAGATGTCCTCAATGGTTGCAGTGGTGCTTTCGAACTGAATTTTTCTCTAGATTTGAATAACACTCAATTAACTAAGCCCAAACTTGTGGATGGAGAAACGAAGTTGAGTATTGACAGACCCAAGGAGTATTAGATTATTTTGCATAACACAGTTTCCTTTTGAGTACTTCAATGAGATGGCTCTGTTGTAGTGACAGGCTCATCAAATTGGTAATAATTTGAAAGTGAATATAGTGCATCTAATATGAATACATTGTTGAGGAGGTATTTTTTAATTGAAAATAATTTGGAAACGATCTCTTACATAGTTGTTTGTAGTTGTGTCGTGCTTTTCTTGATGTTAGATGTTTTGTCAGTTACTCGTGTTTAACCTTCAGTAGTTTGAATTTTTTGTGTTATTGTTGTATGTTCTTTTTGTTACAGTGCATGTCCCCTTACACGCTAGATCACAATAATTATGTATTGTGGTCCTTCAGTCATGTTTAAACTCATCTGTGTTCCTTAAATTGGTAGTCTTGTCTCAGAAAACATTAGTTGGCCACGTTTGCTTTTGGTTGAGTTGAACCATAAATCATATCATGAAGATGATATATTGTTCTGGTAGAGTGCATTTGTTAATGACTAACCTTGCCTGTTGGATTTTTGTTTCTATATAGCTTGTAGCATTATTTTGAAGAGGTTTTTGAAGATTTTGCAAAACAAATGACCCACATGAATCTTAGATGGAATTTATATTAAAATGTTGCTATTGCATGTCTCTCTCCTTAATTGATTGTCAATAGCAAGCTGCATCCTTGCATGATTTAGCATTTGAGGCAACATGTGATTCATTGGGTCATGGAAGCACATCTTTTTTTCCACCAAAATTCTGTGGAATAGATGCAAGTGCAGTTGTAAATTGACACTATGTTGGGGTAAAGGTGATGCATTGATGGATAGATGCTATTATGCCAACTTGCTATTTGACAGCAATCTAGCAGCAGTTGAATTATCCAGTTCCAGTGTTTATGTTTGTTTTTACTGGATCCAGCACTACTGCCTTAAAGTATAGTTTCTTTGACATTTTATATTTTCTATGAGCAACTGAAGATGTTAAGATGTATGAAGCACCAGTGCTGTGGTAGTTGAAATTTCAAGGTACTTTTCAAGTTTGTTTGATCTCTTTATACACTCCTCAGTCATGGGCTTGGAGGAAGTTATGAAGTTTTGCTTGTGTTGAGCTTGTCTGCCCACGACACTTCCCAAATTTGTTCGGTCTCATTTCTGTTACTAAGTAGCAGAAAACACTGTGATCTGTAGAAGGTGGCTGGATCGTGCATGAATATTGTCTTCTTGTTGCATGTTTTGAATGGGATAAACAGCACTGACTATGTGATCTGTAGAATCACAAGGGATAACTCAAAATGTGCTAAAGGCCAATCTGTAGAACTTGAAGAGACTACTGTTAGAATGAAGCAGCGTCCTAAGAACAAACAAAAAATGTAATGTCATAAAGATGAATTCAGCTTTGCTTGCATCTATAATAGAAGTTAGTTTAAAACTTTAAAATCATCTCTCGATTGTCTAGTCAAATTCAAAGAAAGGTTTCTGACAATTAATCATTCAAAAATGCATACAATTAAAAAATTAATTCGACAATGAAGTGAATATAGGTATATTAACTAGAGCTTAAAGTTTACATTGTTGATGTGCTGCCTCTAGCCCTTTTGAGCTCTGCTGTGATTTATGATTCTATGATATCTCACCGATTCAAGAACCATTCTGAGTCCCAGAAGATTTCAAAATCCAAAACTAAATGGCCGTAGGAACTCTGGACTTTATGATATAATAAATTCAAAACTCCACGACTCTGGGAAACTTTCCATATAATTACGTCCTGGTAACATCCTGATACCTTTTATCAGTTTAAATGTTAACCCTTTCGGCTCAAGCAAATTGCAAATAGACATCACCATACAAACACTACTATCTGCATTCAACTCCTCTTGTTCTTCTCGTTATTCATCTTCAGATATTTTGCAAATTCCCTTTGTCTATATTATTACGGAAAATAGCATTCTTGATGAAGAATTAATAGCACTACATTGGCCAAAAAAGTCATCTGTTGTACTTTAACATGGTGGAAGACTACCCAATAGGTCGCCGTGTCAGGCCCTCAGAGGAAGAACTACTTTACCTCCTCCGTGAAAAAGTTACCAACCCACGGTTCCAATATGATCAGGTCAAGGAAAAGAAGCTCTAGGGGGAAGGTGCCGCGCCGTGGAATGTTTTCAGCGATGATGATCTTCAGTGGGAACTTTTTGATGATAATAGAAGCAATGGTAACAAAAGAATGGTCTACGTGTTTACTGAGTTAAACAAATTGAGTGCCAAGAAGGCTGCGAGAACGGCTGGTTCCAGGACATGGGATGGAGAAGCTAAGATTACTACAGTTCAGGGCATGATCACTGGTGAGCTAATTGGGAAAAGGAAGATGTTATGCTATGTTCTCCATTCGGGTTCAGAGGTAAAGAAGGGTAGATGGATAATGCATGAGTATGCTCTTGCTGGTGCTTGCTTGAATGGGAATGGGATGGATAGCAGTATCCACAATACTGATTAAGTGAAATCTCCTGTTATCAAGAAAGATGGGAGCAAAAGAAGTAGATAATGCACGTATTATTGCTGTAACTAATTTTGTTCTCGTAACGGTACTCTTGTTTTGAACTTTTTTACGCTTTGAAGCAAAGATCCCTCATTTCTATACAAAAAGTACATTAATGGCACAGAGGATTAATCCATTCCTCATCTTGTTTTGAACATTGATATTTCGTAAAGTTACACCTTCCTTTTACTACTATTCATGTCTTCTGCTTGAAGCTGGTCAATGTTACATCACCAGCATTCTATGGATCAATATTTTTTATTTCTTGCTGCTAGATAGACCTATGCATTGCTAACATGAATGCAGTAATTTTTACATCAATAGTAATAAGGACTTGTTATGGTTTTATGTTCTTTAGGCTTCATATATTCACAATCAGTCAGGGATGAGACCTACAAGAAGAATCTTATGTTCTTCAATTTATATATTGTCAAGCGATTTTATTCATCAATATCAAGGGATGTTCTTCATATTCCACACCATCCACCACAAGAAACAAAAGAGATCACAAAATTCCGTTCAAATACAGATCAACCAGAATTTCATTCAAAAATTTACTTGTCTAAAGACAAAACAACACCAAAAATTCAACAAGAAAACACTAACAAAAAGATTCCCTTTTCATATCATGATTAATCCTTTCAAATTTTACAGTATGAGCTCTCCAATTTTCATCAAAGTTCAAGGGAAAAAAATCAATCAAGTGACAGTGGACAATCAGAGTAACAATGGAATACAAAAGTCAGTCTATGGCTATCTTTCAACTCCTATCCTCCTCAATGTACTATCGACAAGAAGAAACCAAAAAACAGAGAGCTCAGAATTCACCACGATCAGGGGCAGGACAATTTCCGTCAACTTTTTTCTTCTCAAGTTTCATGAAAGTTGTCTCTGCAGCATCCTCATCTGTACTATCCAGTACTGGTATCATCTCCCTCACCCCATGAATTGCAATCCCTTCATTCTCGTATAATCCTGGAGCAGCAATCTCAACACCATTAATCATTACTCGATCACCAGACTTTTCGATTTTCATGCTAAGCTCCTCAACGTAGTTTCTGAAAACAGTCTCATTTGCAATTCCATTGAGCTCGTTCCAGTTAAGCTTACATGGCAACAGATGCCTCAAGAATATGGAAGAATACTGGAGAAAATTCCCAGTATCCCCAATCAGAGCCTCATCCAGTGGGGCAAAAACTGTCAGTTTCATCCCATTCACAGAAGGGATTTTATGGGAATTCACGAACCCCATCAATTGCAAGTCCAGAAAAGTGGCAAAAATTGAATAACCCCGTGATTGTAGGACCCCTGATGCCTCCTCATACCGTGAAAAAGTACTGAATTCCACGCATTCTGGGTTGGGTTTATGACCGACTGAGGAGCGGGAAGAGTGAAATTAGGCTCAAAGAAATTGTCCACTGCAAAAACCACAACAGAGCCATCATCATAGACGGGTGAGCCGGAAATCTCAACGTTGTTGATGGAAATTTTGGTGGGGTTTTCAGATGAGGTGGTGATGAAGATGGAAGCATGGGTTTTTGACAGGGTTGGGATGGGTGAAGAAAAGGGCAGAGAACTTAGTGATTGGAGGGAAAGAGAAAGTGGCGAGAAATGGAGGAGGAGCAGGGAAAGTGAAGGCTGGCCGGCAGCGGCAAACGCTGAATCCGGGGGAGTGAAAATGGTGAGAGAAGATGGGAAGCTGATGGAATGGGGTTGATCAAGGAGGAGATTCAGGGTGAGGGACATGGCATTGTAGCCCGAATTGGAAAGGGTCTCGGCTGCATTCAAAAGGGACTGTGGCGGCGGCGGCGGTGGTGGGGAGGTTGATGGCGCCGGGGATTGGAGTTGGGTGAGGGAGAAAAGGGAGAAGAGAGTGAAGAGAGAGAGGAAAACAACAAAGGAAGCCATTTTGCTCGACTGTGTGAGTGTGTGCAACTGCGCCTTAAAAGTTAAAAGGGGTAACAAAGTGCAAGATTCTTGCTCTTTCCCGCAGCTGATGAAGATTTGGCGGGAAAATGATTTTTTATGGACACGTGACGAATGCGTATTGGCTGGCTGTGTTAATTGTTAGTTACAGAGTGTCTTTTTTTTTCCCCTTTTCTGATTAGTTACCAATGCAACTCATTCTCTTCTGGCAAAAGTACTATCCGTTTATGTAATAATTTGATTTTTTTTTTCTTTTTTTTGAAATGAGTTTTAGAAGTAGTTATCTTGGATATTATTTTTCTTTTAATGCCTTTGTTTTTGGAAAAAAAAATGGTCTTTTTGCATGCGTTACTAATGATAGAACAATTCAATGTTTTGTAAATACTTTTGTTTCTGTTTTGTCCTTCTTTGTTCAAAACGGATGTAACATACTGCAGCTTCGAGCATTAATGTAGCTACCCATCCAATTTTGCTCATGAGCTGATCTTTCTGTTATTTCAAGGTCCTCTGTTCCTTCCTAGTTAACACTATAACTGCAAATCATGGCTCTTCAATTGGAAACAGAAATCTGAAAGTTTTGGTGATACTAGCTTTGTGAGTGATGTAGTAACAAAAGATATAAAATAATGAAAGAAAAGCTAGGCCTCCAACAGCTACTGTAACACAGCCATAAGAACAAACAGACTCAGAAGGATGGTGATACTAGCGGATGCTGCTGACAAACGGTGAGTGAAGCTAATTGGAAGCCTTGTAGGGAGAGAGCACTCCTCCCCATTGAAGTAAACTTTACTGGGAAATCCGTCACCACGAGGCACATTAATTCCGGGTGTCTTTTTCTTTGTAAATAATATCACAGACTGCTGCGAGCCAGGAATTGGGGGATCTTTCCTTGGTTTGCGTGCTTCCGTTTCTGCAACAAGGTAGTTTAAGCCTGGATGGCCATATAAAAATAGAGTATTGTTAGAATCAGGAATAATAGTTCCATTAAATGAATAGACTGCCTCAAAGCCAGGCATAGCTTTATCCAGTTCCACTGCAGCAGACCAATCAGCAATGCTTGTGTCTCCCCAGTTGAAGAGCGTAATTCTTGCAGTCCAGCCATCTTCAAAATCTGAAAGCAAGTGCCAGTTAATGCTGACTCCACAGTTATCTCCACAGGGCAGAGGATTGGGCAAATGGCGGTGCTTTAGTTTACTGAATTCAATGGCTTTCTTAGTTCGGTTGTCAAATGGGACTAGAAGTGCATCAGGAGGTAGAAGAAGAGCTGGTGCAGTGGCATTGCACATATTGCTTGGATTCAGGTTGCAGCCACAGGCGCAAGTGTTGCATGGAACGACAGAATCATTGAAAAATGAGGAAAATGATACGCAACAATTTGGCTTCTTCTGGGGCGTTTGTGCTTGCGAAATGTTGCATACTATTTGCCAACTAGCAACTGCTGATACGTCGGAACTTAGCCCTTGAGGATTTGGGAAAAAGCTCGAGCTCACTCGAACCGGCTGTCCACATTGATATTCAGGGCCAGATGTGCCATTAATCTTCCAGTTAATGGGAGGATATATCTGAGTCCTATTCAAGTCTGGCTTCATTTTGTAAACTTGCATTACAAACGCTGATTTCGACCTAGTCGGATCCAATGTTGGTGGCAGGAGTGATCCATTTCGACAACAAAAGGGTATCATACCAAGTTTAGTATCATTTGTTCTGTCAGGAGGGAGATCAATGATTGTTGGCCGTCTTTCACAATTCACAGCAATCGAAAAATCAAGGTCTTTGTAGTACTCTCCCTGTGCACCAAAAACGCATTGTTTTGTATCAAGAACAGTTGGATAAGCGCCTTTCATTTGATAGATAAATTCTTCCCTCATCCATTCCCAAGTTAACTTCCAATAATCTAGTCTGCTAATGGGGTTCTCATTGGAGATTGTGACTTGTGCCCAGTAATTTTTTTCGTAAGCACTCGTCACATCGTACATTATGCTTATATCACCAGATTGGAGGGGTGACTCCTGTTCTGTAGTGATGTTGGATCTTGCTTTTAAGTCTCTGATGCAGCAGACTTGTGTCAAATTGACTCCTGCATTCACCAAACAGGTTAGCTATCAAGAAACAAGGACAATATGCCAGGGAAAAGACTACATAACATAGATGCAGGCGGGAATCCAGAGAGTTTGCTAGGGAAGCTTATACTGAATTACGTTTTGTCATTTTGTCACCAGAAATTTGAATAAATCAAAAAATCTTCTTTGTGTGTTTATCTACAAAATTAAACAGTCTGGACCTGTTCAATCCTCTGCACTAATTTAACTTTTCCCAATATTTCCTCTTACAACCTCTGTTTCCTATGCTATCCAGGATTCATACAAGGACCAAATGGAATGCCCAGATCACTTTGCCGGGAGATTCTTGCAAATTTGTGAACCTGATAACTAGCAATTCTCTAGTAGCAAACAGGAGCTCTTAGAACAATACTTCGTTATCGACAAATTGAAGCTATATTTAACTGATTAAAGGATGTCTTGATACAGTAGTTGCAGAAAAGTACATGCACAGAGAGATTTTATTACCTTGTGGCATGTTAGAACCGGAGCACAAGTAGCCATCATTAGCAAGACCAAGATTAGAAGGCAGGGGAGCATTAGGAGGTGCAACACCAAACTGTGTACCTACCAATTCTACCCGAGCCATCATCTGATTAAGGTCTCCAGCAGTCTCCACAGATGTCTTGAGGTCAGTCACCGGAGACCCTGAAAAAACTGCACCCTGGCTGACATTACCCGGTAAAGAAGTACCATCATCAAGCACAGCCTCAGAGGCCGAGTACAAGTATTCATTATGCTGAAATCCCACGAAAACCTTCCAATTCTTGAGCTCTTCAAACCCAGCATTGAGAACTGTTAAGGTGGATTCAAACCTGTAGGGCTGGTTATCAGGGGCACCTGGCAAAAGGGTTGGTGGGATTTGATAGCCCGTGTCATAATTATATTGTATCACTACTCCATTGCAGACACCATTTGGGGTGTTTGTAGGCTCCTGAAGCTGAGAAATTGAGGTTGGAAGTGAAATTGTGATTATTATCAGTAGCGGCAGTATTATGTGATTCAAGAAACTGAAAATTTTGGCCATGCTAGGATCCTTTAGGTGAACATAAATGTGCAGACAAACTTAAGAATAGCGGAACAAGAAGAAGAAGAAGAAGAAGAAGAAAGAAGGAGATTTTGTTTCTTCTGATGAAGATGAAATGTGTTCGGACTTGGATTAGTATTAGTATACTAGCAGTAATATTACGTGCATCGAAAATGATGTTTGAAGTTTCTTGGGACATTTGATATTGATGTATTTTAAATGCATGTTGCGGTAAGCCGGCATTGAGTAGTTCTTCTAATGGTGAGGCTGGTTAGCTGAGGCAAGCCACAGCAAGAGAGGAACTTGTCCTTTTTATCTGCCTTCTTGACTTTGTCTGATTCTACTCCTTGAATTCTTCCATCTTCACCTGTTCTTTAAAATTTGTTCCTTGTTTATTTATATTTTGGGATTGCTTCGTCATATCCCAATTTTCTCTTTAGAATAATGCTAATTGGAAATTACTTTCGAATGTCGCTAGCCTGCAAGGAGTGAACTGGTGTTGAACTGGAAGTTGGGACAACCAAAGATAGGTAGTCTCTTTGGACGGCTTCTGTCCCATATAGCAAATTAATTCCCATATGCTAAAGATGGATGTTGATGATATGGCATGCATAGAGAACCCTTTTTCTTTTACTTTTGGGCCAACTTATCTACAATATTAAGTTTAACAAAGAAAAATAACTGTTTAACGAAAAGATTAAGGGCACAGAATAAGAATTGAGCACAATTTTTCGATCTACGAGATTCTATAAAAATTTTTTGGGCGTTTTTAAAATATAGATCACTGTCATTGTTACGTATAGATATGGAAGAAATGGTTTTCTAAAGGGATCATAAAACAAGAGAACAAGGCTCTTGAGATTGGTTTATATACACTGTTACATACATTCATAACTTACATTTCACTTTTGATAACAACATCAAGACCTTCAACTTCAATACCTTTAGCAGATATCTCAGCAGATTCACTACAGTAATGCAACTCAAATCTCTGAAGAGTATTAATTTCCTCAATTCCAGCTGGGATTCCCTTTAGGAACTTGCAACCCCGCAAGACTAGGTGCTCAAGGCAGGGAAAGTTATCGCTCGAGGCTTCCCAGTTCTCTAGATTGGTGCTGTCAACTAGAAAGTGCTTTAGCCGACGAAATGCCTCTTCAGTTGGCTCCCAATCTGGTCCTTGGAAAGCATAATTTTTCAGTTTGAGCACTTCAAGGTTAGGCAACATGGCAATACATGCAATATCTTTCCATGGCAAGTAGCTCCAACTTAAAGTTAATTTCTTGAGAGTCAAAGGGAAATGGAGAACGCTTGGACGCAAAATTCTAGGTGCTTCTGCATTTTGTTTATAGAAGGAACACTTCAATGCTTCAAGGTACTGCAAGTTGGCAAGATTTTTGAGCCATCTGCAGGACATATCAGTAATGAAATCTTCTTTGGTTTCACAAATTCCAAGTTTCCTAAGATAAGGCATTACCAGAAAAACATCACTTGTGCAACTAGCAAACCTTATCGTGGACAGTGTCTGTAGGTATCGTGGAGCCAAGGGACAGCGAGATGGATCAAAAGGATTACTCAAATAACAGGGCATGCTGATATGCAGATGCCTTAACCATGGCATTATCCAGTATTCAAATAACAGAGTTGGGCTTTCTCCCTGATTTCTGTTGATCCAGGGACCATGGATAACAAGGGTCTGAAGGCTCCTGAGTTTAGATATTGATGCTGGAAGCTCATAAGTAGCAGTAAGCGCCAGGTATCTCAAGTGAACAAGGTCTAGTATTTCAAGTGGGAAATACTTGGAAGAAAGGAAAATTATGTCCAATACTCTGAGCAATTTGAAGCTTGAGATAAACATTGGCACAAAG